GATCTAAGCCCCTGGGCTTTGAGTTTGACACCCCTGCCATATTGGATTACAAGTAGTCCTCAACCTACGACCACAATAGGATTTTAAAGATTGTTGTTAAACAGCACGGTCATTATGCATCATGTTACTCCACCCAATTTTACAACATTTTTGGCATGCTCACTAAGCAAATCACCTGTGGTTGTTAAGTGAGATACCACGGGACTGTAATTTGCAACCTCCTGCCAGCTTCTCCGTTGACTTTCCATGTCAGAAGCCAGCAGGGATGGTTGCAAATGGCAATCAGGACACTCCAACAGTCACAAGGGTGAGCCTCTTGCCAAACTTCTGGATCACAATCAGATCACTGTGGAAAAGCTGCAATGGTCGTAAGTGCAAGGACCAATTATAAGTCACTCTCTTCAGTGCCGCCAAACGGTCGCTAAATGAATGGTTGTTAAGCAAGAACTATCCACATAATCTTATAAATCTAAATATGCTATCCCCTCCCTCTTTGTATGAACTAGAAGGAGAACTTGTGTGAGACGTTTGGCCCAGGCTCAAGAACCTCTTATCTGACTATTGTCTTGGTAGTGGTTCTCTCTCCTGTCCTTCAAGACCATTCCCTGTTCCCCCTACACTTATGTTATTAGGCTTTCTTATCCAGAGTAAGCTCTGAGTTCATTTATTCCAAACCTACCTGGAACCTCTGGTCTGATCTCTAGGCTCATTGCACTACAGTCCACTTGCAAGGGAGACAACAGGGACTGTGCTTGCCTGCCCACTCTTCCCTCCACCCATCTTCTTGCCCTATGTTTTCTGGTTCAGAACAGCTACTGCTTTTATGGCAGCTCTTGTTCCATGTAGTATTTAAAAGCTAAACAGTTCCATTGAGAGCATTGTTTGTATTTCATTGCATATACTGTAGATACTGCAACTTTTGCTCTTTAGGGATTCAGCACAGCTCTGGGTTGGGTCTATTATGTGGCTTACTGAGTTTTTGCAAAGCCACAAAGTGTGTGTATGTGAAAAGCGAGAGTATCGTAGGACAGCCTTTTCCTTCCAAAAGTGTTGGGATTGTAAATCCCAGGAATTTCAAATCAGCACCAAAACATGCTCTACAATCCACAACAACGTAATCTGGTTTCCCAGTAAGGAAAACTTTTGGAAATTTTCCATATGCTTAATGCTGGTCAAAAAAATCAGGCTATCCTATGGGATAGTTGTTTCTAATATATATAAGAGCATCAGTCAATTGACAATTGTACTACATTTTGGATTCTCTAAGGAATCTCTAAGACCTTTCATTCACTAACACAGAGGGTGGTCAATATTGTTTTAGGTGAAGATCAACTAGTTCCTCTGTTCCAAAAGTTAAGAATAGACTGACTTATAAATTGTAGGAAATGCCTCTTGGAATTTAGCCAGTATACGTTTTGATCCTCTCTTGATCTTTATTTTCACTAATCCTTTTCTTTTTGTGTTCTTTCCTTTTGTAGATCTGCCAAAATTCTGTCATTCATGTTCCTCCTCCTTTGTCTGTCATGCTTTCTCCCTTCCCACCCCCAGATATTTTTTGTTAAGTTTAATTACGCATTTTGCCAGCTTTGCTAAGTATAAATTAACTATCCACAGTACAGTAAAAGAAAGGTAAGATAAAATCTCTAAGGCAGGTTCAATTGCTGCTGATTTCATGGACATGTCCATATTGTTTTCATGGTAACAATACTGAACTGATATATGTTGCCCTTTCTTGGCTTTTTTTCTCCCAAGTAGTAGTCTAGTACTAGTAGCCTAGTAGTCTATAGACTTGGGATTTCCTGGTTGTCTTCCAACCATGTCTCTCCTTGCTTAGCTTTTTGACATTAGCTAAAGTCCACTAGATATTGCCACCTAGTTTGGCCCAATAGATCAGAACATAGTATTAAGGCAGCATTGGTTCCATTTTCAGTAACCTATAGTGGGCTCAGAATGGGGGTATAGCAACCTTCTTAACCTTCTTGATCTCTCAATGGTTTTAAATACTCTTGACCATGGTATTCTTCTGAGCTCAGAGGGTCAGGCTTAGAGTCCATGGTATTGGAGTGATTCCTCTCTTTCTTTCAATGGGGAAAGAAAGACCTAGCCCTCAACCTCGGTTTTATGGGGTGCCTCAGAACGCTACACTCTCTCCACAACATCTAAATGAAGTCACTGGATGAAATTGTCTGTTCATCAGTATGTTGATGATAATCAGTTGTACATTTATGCCCTAGGCCGAATAGATAGCACAGTCAAGATTTTCCCCTCAGTTTCTGGAGACTATGGAGGCCTGGATGGGGAAGAACAGGCTTTAACTCAATCCTGGCAAGACTAAATGGCTGTGAGATTTGGTCCTCTGAATCCAGAAACTAGACATTTATCACCATTATGTCTGGAGGGAGTGAACAAGTATGGACTTCAATAATCTTCCTAGACACACAGCTCTTCCTCAAAGAGTAGCTGGCAGTTGTACCTAAGAAGAGTTTTGCACAATCTCATCTGGTGCACCAATTGTGTCCATTTCTGGATTGGGAAGCCCTGCTTTACCCATGCCTTAGTCCCCTCCCCGTAGACTACTGTGATGTGCTCTGTATAAGACTGCTATTGAAGACTATCCAAACTGCAGTGCATATCATGGGTCACCATGATATGTTCATATAACATTACTTTTAGGAAGCTATACTGGCTCCCAACATCCTTCCAGATGAATTCAAGGTGCTGGTTATCACTAATAAAACCCTACATCCATGATGGTGAACCTATGGCACATGTGCCACCTGTGGCACGTGGAACCATATCAGTGGGCATGTGAATGTTACCCTAGCTCAGCTCCGGTGCACATGCGCGTGCCAGCCAACTGATTTTAAAACCTTCTGGGCCCACCGGAAGTCAGGAAACAGGCTGTTTCCAGCCTCCGGAGGCCCCCGGGGGAGTGGGGAAGGCCCATTTTTCGCTCTTCCCAGGCTCCAGAGGCTTTCTAGGAGCATGGAGATAGCAAAAATAACCTTCCCCACTCCCCAGAGGCCCTCCGGAGGCCAGAAACGGCCCATTTCCCAAATTCCGGTGGGACCAGAAGGTCCATTTTTTGCTGTCCCCAGGCTCTAGAGGCTTTCCAGAGGCCTCTGGAGGGCCTCCGGGGGGGTAGGGAAAGCCATTTTTGCCCTCCCCAGGCTCCTAGAAAGGCTCTGGAGCCTGGGGAGAACAAAAAACGGGTCTTCCGGTGCCACTAGAAGTCAGCAAATGGGCCATTTCCGGCCACCAGAGGGCCTCCAGGGGGTGGGGAAGGCTGTTTTTGCCCTTCCCAGGCTGCAAGAAAGTCTGGGGAGGGCAAAAAATGGACCTACCGGGCCCACCATGGCATCACGTGCCAAAAGCGGGGGGAGCGCAGGGGGATCATGCGTGCCTGCGTGAGGGGGTGGGACACATTGAATTATGGATGTGGGCACGCACATGCGCAACCCCCCACGCTCTCCCTGCTTTTGGCACGCGATGGCAAAAAGGTTAGCCATCACTGTCCTACATGGTACATGATCAAGTTATCCTCAAGACTATCTATCTTTGGTTATTTCTGACCAATCACATGATTGTCCATGCTTGGGTCTCCTTCTTAAAGCAATTTCTTCTGATAGGACCTAGAAGAAATGCCTTTTCTGCTGCAGCACTTTTAGAATAAGTCCCCATTTCCAAACTTACAAACCTTCAAGACAGCTTTAAAAACTTGGGTTTTTTCCTAGTCTTTACCACCAAGGAAATAGGTTAACCAATCTTCTGGGAGATGGAGGGTATGATTAGTGAGCTTGGCTTAATACTAATATATTAGCTTATGAATTTCCTTTTGTTGCTATAGCATGGTTTTTATTGTAATATTTGTTGTTGGTGTTATTATTGTTATGGCATAGGGAGCCAGATGCTTAGCCAGGATTTGGCATTTTTATCCACTCATTGATTCCTTCCCAGGGAACTGAAATAGGCAGATGTTATTGTGTGATGGTGTACTGTTGCAGGATGTAAATTGTTCCAAGGACAATTGCCTTATGTAATTGACTTATGGACAGTTTGTCAATGTCAGTGATGTTCAAGTGGTGCTCAAGATGTTTTGGGATTGTATTATTATTATCATCATCATCATCATCTTCTCTTTTATTCATTAAACATGAAACTCAGTCAACTGAACATTTAAAAATGTGTCACAAATATTATTATTATTATTATTATTATTATTATTATTATTATTATTAAATCTTTGGTGAGATTCACAGCCTTTGAGGCTGGTTAATAGCTCAGCAACTCGAGTCCTAACCAAGGACCTAGGAACTGTTAAGGTATTGTCGGAGGATGTAAGCTATTATTATTATTATTATTTCACTATGATCACATGTTTGATCCTTGGTTGATAATTTCCATTCAGAAAAAAAACTTTGTAATTGTTTTCATGATCACATTAATTGATCCTAATAAATGTGCTTTAGATTTTTACTCTAAAAGCAATGTAACCATCTCCATTTTTTTGCAGGTATAAAACCTAGCCATTTCTTTAATTTTGAAATGTCTGAAATACAAACATTACAATTAGAATCATAATTATTTTTGCCTTATAGGAAATACTTTGCAAAACTAGTTGTTCCAGTAGCTTCCTTGTTACAGCAACTTCTGGGCTGGGATGACAAATGAGAGCAAAACGTATATTAGGAAAGAGTTCTTCAAAAGCTCTGGAGACCAAACTCCTGATCTTTCAGAAAAGATAAAAAAATATGCCAGTCTTTTAAAGTACTGTCTTTCCGGTGAGACTAGTGGGAAAGGAAAACCAAAAACGAACAACAGAGAAGACATAAAGAGAAAAAAAATCTCACCCTCTTTTTATTCTTGGCAAACTAAGCAGTTCTTTTGAAATGGGGGTCTTTCAGCCACGGATTCTCCATTACTTTTCCAATGGATTTGTGTGCCAGCCATCTCATGTTTAGAAGATTGCTAATATAGTTCCTGATGTTTTTAAATAAAAGGAAAGTACCCAGGAATTAAAAGAGAAACTCTTCATGAAGTGATGTACCTACATATCTACAACTATTTGGGAGTACTAACAAAGGTAAGGATTTGAATTTGCATTTTGCTCCATTACTAGTAATCTTTCCCTTCAGGGTCAGGATAGAAAGCTGATTTTAGAAAAGAAAACTCCAATTTAAAAAAAAATCATTCTTTACAAGTGGGTAAAAGAAACCCTGGATGGCATCCAAGCATCAATAAGATTATAATCAGCTAATTTGTTCAAAAGGAATTTGACAGTTTGAACAGTTTGTAGTGAGCCTCCATTTCTCCCCTTCCGTCTTCTACTTTCTAGCCATTTACTTTGGCAAAATTAGACTGTTTGTCTCCCATAACAGCACAGCTTCTCTTGGTCTAGCAATCTCATACCTGCAACACCTTTGGGCAAAAAGACATGTATTCTCCTTTGTCAAGCAATATCAGAAAAAAGTATTACTGACTAGTTCAAATGAAAGATTTCCTAATGAAGCTATAATTGATAGTCACACATGATACCTGTAATTACATGAAATATTCTTTTGTTTTGCTTTGGAAAAAAAGAAAGCAAACCTTCAGGCTTTCAGGGTGTGTGTGTGAGAGAGAGAGAGTTCAAACACAAACCCTTGTACACTCGGTTATCCCTCCAGCTACAGATAAATTTTAGCATTCATCAAATCTCTTGCCTGTTGGATGCACATACAATCACAACACACCTGCAGATTTCAGAAACCCGTCCTGCTGGCTGGCTTCTTCTCCAGCCCATCTCCTGAGTGATTCATGCCAAAACACATGTTAAACCATCAAAATAGAGTATAATACGAAGCTGGTTATAGTCTTTTCAAGTGAATGCTTCAGAAAACATTGGGCTCCAGCAAAACCAGTCATGATGTGATATGTCACATTCCAGCTTTCTAATCCCATACCAAGAAAGAAGAACTACAGGTAGTCCTCTAGTTATGATCACAATTGAGCCCAAAATTCACTCTGCTAAGTGAAACATTTGTTAAGTGTTAAGCCCCATGTTACAACTTTTCTTGCCACAGTTGTTAAGTGATTCATTGCATTTGTTAAGTAAGCAGCATGATTGTTAAGTGAATCTGGATTTATCATTGATTTTGCTTGTCAGCAGGTCGCAAAAGCTGATCACATGATCCTAAGCTATTACAATTGTCATAAATGTGAGTCAATTGCCAAGCATCGAAACTTTGATCGCATGACCATGGGGATGCTGCAATGCTTCCTTTTTCTACTCTACATGGGGCATAGAATTTGTTCTGACATTGATTTCCTGAAAAGAGCTAAATGCAATAAAACCTTTTCTGCTTTGGATCATTTTAAACCCTAAATATGAGGGTGAATGCCCCATGAGTAGAAAGAGGAAGCATTATGATAGCATGGTTTAAACTATTGTGCTAGTCTATGCTTTCCTTAATCATGTGTTGTTGAGTAAGTCACGGTGGCTCGATTCAGACAACATGCTAAGCCATAACACTACTTTTTACAATCACAATGGCTCTGTTTTGTACAAAACAAAAATTAAAAACAAATAAATATATTATGGTTAAGCTCAGTATGATGGCCAGTATCATCTAATCCAGATGGGATCAGGGATGAATTTCAAATAAACTATAATGTAGGAATTTCATCTATTGGGGATTTAAAACTCTCTGTTTTTTAAGGTATTTCACAGCTATTAATCACGACCATCCAGAGGTAATCCAGCTTTGTGTAGCTTGAGAGTGTGGGGACCATTTGTTCTCTCAGTTCTTTAAACACTGTGTTAAGCACCATTGATGAATACATAAAGATAAATCATACTCTGTCTGCATATGGCAAAATGTACTTTCGGAGATTGGTATTAGATTATTTGTTTTTCTCTGCAACTGGATTTAATCCAGATTGTTAACTGGGGCTCCCTATTGCTGTTGTTTTTAAAAATTTTTAGAACAATTCTACATTCAAGTTCTACCAGATGAACTACCTTAAAATCTGTTATATCAGCAGAACTTGAGAGACATGCCAATATAAAAGACATGTGGAAGAATTGTCTAGAAACATCAGCAGAACAACTAAAACAAGGAAGTGTTGTGGGCAGCATGGAAAGACTCATATTATCTCAGGCTGTTTTAGTCCATGATTATGCTTCAACTCAGGGAGCATTTTTTTAACCAAGCCAAGAACCAGTGCAAGGATCTTTTTCACCCATCAAACTCTGTGGCATTTGAACTCCTCCATTGGCAGGCACTCATGAGAGAAGTAAGGCTGGTCTTTAAGCACCTTGGAAAGCTCCAGATGAGGAATTTGTTCTATGAAAAACTTGAAATGCATCAAGTCCTTCCAGTTTACACTTCCCGATTTCCACTCTTTCTTTTCCTAACTTTAGGCCTCTGCTGGAGAATATTTATCTGTTTGTTTGTTTGTTTCTGCATATATGTATATATGTATTTAATTTGTTTGCCACCCATCTCACCACATGAATATGGTTCTTTAAAGATCTGAACATGGGTGGTCTTCTCCTTGTAATGACTTCTTGCTTTAATAAGTGCCTCCTGCTAAGCAGTGCAACTTGATAAGCCAAAGTCAGAGATTCCAAGGAGAAATCAGTTAGATTAATCCAGGCCAATCCAGCTCAATCAAGCTTTCAGGATCCAAAAGAAATAGTAATATTTCTGAAGAACAAGCATAAAAAATATTTTAAGTGAAGACTAAAGACCAGAAATCCCAGTGATCCGCTAGAGTAAGGATCAGGAGAGCTGCAACAAATGTTGCTTCCAATACTTATATCCCATGTCACATCTGTATTCCATATGTGCTTATTAAATAGTCATTTTGAAGAAATTTCTGAGAAAACATTTACTTCCTAGGAATCCGGCCTTACATTGTGGCTCTCTTCCATGCTTCATTGCTTAGCAACAGTACTATTTCCATGGCTTTGGAGGCTCTGAGATATCCTGAGTCAGAATTCAAAGAGGTGAAGGGTCATTATAATGCCCCTAATGTCATCCTTTGCTCTTTTAGGTCACTGTCCCTGTGATATTCTCATCAGACTTTCCCCTCCTTTCCCTGTGGAGTCACCCATAAGGCCACAAAAGCATATCTTGTGTTTTTGACAAGTATGGTGGAGTAAAAGATATTTGATTCTAGGTTCCTTATCTATTTTTACCAATAGATTCATATGCATTTGGCTTCAGGGATCATGTGTGCTCTATGAACATATCCATTCCTAAAAGCAGCTTCATGCAATCTTTCCCAAATAAGAGTGAGTGAAGATTCTGATGCATATTTTATAACTCTCTGTTATGGCTCGCAAGAGTAAAATCACTTTGCTTGCCATGTAATCACAGACAACACAAAACTATGGGGAAAGAAAGAAAAGCACAGAACAAACCTGTTTGTAGAACTAACAGAGCACAATGGGAAGAACAGATATCAATAAAACATCTTTGAAAACATCTATGAAAACATCTTTTCATAGGCCTTGGATAACATTGACTGATTGCAATCCAAATATTTGTCAGTAAAATTTATTGTGACTATAATCTGACTATATAATAACACATAAAACACAAGCTAATTGACTACAGGCTTTTCAGAAAACAGACATTTTTATGTAAACCCAAAGGAGAATGTTTCTGTTTTTTTAAACAACTTGTTACAAAACCTGCCACAAGGTATTAGTATCTGGTAGGGAGTGGGAAGAAGGACACATTGCTTAAGTCTGAAATAGATAAATTAGATGCAGGGTGGGTGGGTGGATAGGTGGACAGATAGATAGATGGACAGATGGACTGACAGATGGATGGACAGACAGGGTCTTGTATGCCATCTAGCCCAGTGCTGCCCATTCAAATAGATAGCATCTCTCCACTTAACATCTGATCCACAGCTGGGATTGTCAGTTCCAAGGATTCAACCTAGGACTTCCTGCATGAAAAATGGCTACCACAGAATGATAAGAATAGTGCTCAGATAAACACGACTTTGTTCAAGTGTACTAAATTTTTTAACTAAAGCCTATACTAGACAACAGGAAATAAGAAGGCTTAAATATAGTTTATCTATAGTGGAATCCACTTGCAGAGATAAAAGTTTTGAAAGCTGTGGGAGTTGGTGAATGGCAATGAGATTATGACATTTGTTCCATCAGAAGTAAGAAGATGAAAGGAGAGAAAAGGAAAGTAACTTTTTCATGAAATAACTATAAAGTTGTAGCTTGTAAATGCAAGAGGCCCAATATAATTAAAACAAAGCATTTTGAAGTCCCACAAGGTTGTTCAACACAAAGTTCACTTTGAAACAGTATTTTTTAATACAAGGCACGTTAACTTAAAATACCAAACACTACCAGCCTAAAAAATATATATGTATATTTGATTTGGGGCTCATTTTTAGAGCCCATTTGCTTGTACTATGAAGTTTTTGATACATCCCACGCCATTAATCTCATCAGGTGAGGACAGATCCTGATTCAAATTCCAAAGCTTCAGAAGTTTTCCATAGACTGGATGTGTGTAATTATGCCAAGAGAGAATTCAAAGAAACAATTGAATGAGTACTTTAGGTGGACATAATGAGCTCAGAGGACCCCAAAAGTAACTGACCATAGAGCAGAAAACAAATGCGAAGCCAAGCATATGGAAATAGGTTTTAGGCTACATGCAGGTGCAAAAATCTTGGAGTAAAGAACTGGGCTTAAAGATGAATATCAAGAAACATCAATCTGCTATGACTTGCCAATATTTTTTAGCTAAGCTTACACTACTGAGGAAAGTGCAGTGCTTGCTATTTTGAGTATGTGAAAAAAAAGGATTGTTAGGCATTTATTCGTTTCTTTATTAAATTTCTATGCTTACTGCTGCTTGAGGGCTCAAGAGTTGTTCATCAATGTCCTGAAAAATAGAGAATGATGGCACACTGCACCTTTGTCACCTTGGCCATCAATCCAAGAATGTAGAAATAACAGAGTACTTAAAATTACTACTTAAAAGATAGAAAAACCTAACATATCAATTTTTAAGCTTTCTAACAACATATATCCTATGAGTGCATTTTAGCACAAATTCA